ATATAAAATTTTAGAAAACCTAAAAAATTTTTTAATACTAAACCCTAATATTATACAAACTTTAAACTTTAATTAATTAAAAGTTTTTTAATAATTTTAAAAATTTTTTTTAATAAAGTTGATAAAGTAGATCTTTAAAAATCTTTTTTTATTAATAAATATATTGCTAAAATTAATATTTAAAATTTTATTAAAAAAATAAAGTTTAAAAAAATAAACACAGGCAAATTTGTCTGTATTACAATTTAAGGGATAAAAATTAAAAGTTTTAAATTTATATTATCTAAAAGTATAATCAAAATTTAGTATAATTTCATATATTTATTCAAATTTAGAGGAAGTTAATAGAAAATAGACAAATTGTTTTTAGTAAATTTTTTTTAAACTTTAAATTAAAAAATTTTAACAATAAACAAAACAAATTTAATAAATTTTTTATTTTAACCTATAACTATGTAGAATCAATATAAAAAAAAATATATATTAAATTTGATTTAATAATTGTTGAGATATTTTAATTTAAAATTTTAAAAAATTTTATTAAAAAAACTTTACCTGTTTTCTATTAATCTTACTTTATTTATATTGCTATATAATGCAATTTTACTAAATATTTCAATTCAATAGGATACTTTAAACTGATAGTAGAGATAAGAACTAAAATTACAAGTTTAAATTAGAGATATAAAATTTAGAAAATTTATTAGTTTACACATAGTGTTTAAACACGGATCATCAAAACAATAAAATATAATATATAACATATATAGTTATAAATAATGTAATGAATAACGTATAAACAGTATGATGTATGCTGGTGTATAAATATAACATTTTCACAATAATAATTTCTTTTGCTCTCTTGATCTCAAGCTCATTTTATAAGCATTTATATTTTTTAAGATGAACGAACCCAATTATAAGAACGAACCTAATTATATAAACAAACCCGATTATATAAACGAACCCGATTATATGAACGAACCTGATTATATGAACAACCCCGATTATATGAACGAACCTAATCATATGAACGAACCCAATTATATGAATAAACCTGATCATATGAACGAACCTGATTATATGAACGAACCTGATCATATGAATGAACCTGATTATATGAATGAACCCGATCATATGGACGAACCCAATTATATGAATAAACCCGATTATTGTTTTGAACCCGATCATTTTTTTGGTCCTGATTTTTATTTTGAACCCGGTCTTTTTGAATCTAACCTTGTTGATAATCAAACAGCTTCCGCATTGACCTTTCAAAAGTCTCATGTAAATATTTCTTTATATTCACATTTGTATTTTATCGATGAAACTATAGCCAACTAAGACCTACCTTTGTTTTCTTAAAGCTTTATAAGTATGAAATTGTATTGTCTGACAGAATTTCGTTAAATAATAAATCGGTTACCTCAGCTTTAACTTTTCTAAGTATTCATGTGGTATTTATCCCTATTTCCTTATGTTTGTGTTTATATTTAATTATGAAGACCAACATAAAGTGGCAAACTTAAACTGATTGACAATTGTTAATTATTAATCAACAATTGTCTAATCGGTTCAAGTTTGCTACATTTCACATTGGTCACTCACAATTATTATTGAGCATTCTAAGTAATAAATTCTTATTCATCTTATACAGCCTTATGAATCTAATATGATGTTGATCGATCGTGTTTTATTAGACAATGAATTCGCTTCAACTTCAAGAGCACACATGATTTTCTAGTTATTCCTTATGTTCACCTTTTGCTAATGATAGTCTTATAATCAACATTTTGTTTCTTGCAATAATAGGTCTCTGAATCTAGCATAGCATTAATTGATACTATTCTATTGGACAATGAATCGGTTGCATCAATTTCAAATTCTTCAAGCAATCAAGTAAAGATTTCTTTGGCTATTTCACTTATTGCTTGGATTCATGTTTTTTGATATTATTAATTCGAAAGTTTTTACTTATTTTATAGCTTTGTGAGTCTAATACAATGCTGGCTAATAATAATTCACTTGACAGTGAATCAGATGAATCTAATGACTCACCTTTAGAATTGGTTGCCGGACTTACCTTTTCTAGCTGGGATGAATTTAAGGCCTGGATACGTGCGTTTGCATTAGAAAAAGGGTTCAGCTATAAAATTAGAACAAGTGAGATAGTTCAGGGGTGATGCGAAGAGCAACTTATGAATGCACTAAGTCTGGTTCACATATTCCACAAATTACATCGGACCCGATAAAAAGATGTAATACTCATTCTCAACAGATTCAGTGCCA